GATAAGTGGTAATCGTCGACTAATTCCGGAGATTCCGGAGATTTTGAAATAGTTCATATCAACTGAAACACTTGATGTAACCGACCCACTGGTAGAGACTGTCATAAAAAATATGACATAAGAGGTCTAAGGTATCATATATGATAAATAATATTTGACTTTGAATCATTTTTATGAATTTTGCTATAAATATAGATTCCATATTAAACCGCATTAGGAAAGGCTCAATCAGCTGTGGATAAGTATTGGACTAATGGTAATATTAAACCGTTACTAATTACGTCATACATAAAAGAAGAAAATCAGTATTTTGTAGAATTAATCTTAGTTGTAGTCATCAATGTCTATAGAAGAAATACGAACACAATGATAAAGTAGAAGCAGTGTCGAGAGCAGAAATGGAACGGCGACGGGTCACAACCCAAAATAGCCCGTTGTTAATCTGTGACCTTTGGCTTTGCCAGTCTGGTCTGACCCATGGCTAATTTATTAAAGCTGGCCATAGCCGTTTGTCGTCTGTGGTCCACTTTAATTCCTATAATCTATTTTATACCTACATCAAATATACACGGTAATAATTTTAATGACATTAAGAAACCAACATTTTAATTGTTAAATCAAAATGTTGATACATTTTATTGTAAATACATACATAACTAGTTGTCTCAGCAAACGTTGTTCCTATATAAATTAAAATCGCTATTAAAAATATAGGAGTTGGTAATAGAAGAATGAAAATTTAGGGTTGTCTGTGTAATTTAATTAATTAATATGGGCTATGAAACTAACACACTTAGGGCTATAAAAAATAAATAGTAGACGATTCTCAGACCTACTGAATATACATATAAAATTTTATAAAAATAAGTCAAGCCGTTTCGGAGGAGTATGGTAAGTAACAAGTAACAGGAGAATTTTATATATAAGAAGATATACATAGAAAACACCCAGAGCGATACAGAGATCATGAATTTAAATCTTCGTACCGTATGAGGAATCGAATCCGGACCGGATGTAATTTTTGTTAAACATAATATGAAATAAACAAAAATAATCTATGTATTTATTTTATTTCACTCAATTGTTTTCTGTACAGTATTTATTACATTAACTTATTTTATAACAAATAGTAGTGAAATTATTCTAATATCCATTAGTACCTTTATAATTATTTAAATTGCAAAAAATAATTAGGCAAGATTAGTTAAATGCAATATTTATTATAATTTATTATGGTCTATGTCGTTAACCATTGTGTCAAAATATTTCTTCTATAATTGTTATCTGTATTTCAGCGTAAATTGTGTATTTTGATTGAAATGAAAAGTTAGTCTTATCGAATAATAGCCTAGATTATAAGATAGATATTTCTGTATAAATAATGATACTAAAATCTAATTCATAAACGTCATTTTTTTATACTTTACGTCATTTTTATTGTAAGTACTTGTACACATTACACGAAAGGAATATTCACCATGGTAAAATAAAGCAGTATTTTTATTTATTATATTATTATTTTACAGATTTCAATCTACTATGAGCTATGAGTATTTTAGCTATAAATTGATGGCCAGACGTTCTCGCAATGTTAGCGTGATAATAAATTCAAAACTTAACAATATACTTAATTATTCATTTCGTGAAAAGACAGATAGTACCCGACCAATGCCGGGCTTGTTTTCGTTGCTCGCGGCCCATAAAATGTCTCCGGCCGGCGTGGCAGCTCGTCAGTCAAAACGTTTCCCGCCGACAAATCGCCAGCTACGCCGCCCATGTTAACTTCCTGATTTATTGTCCGCCATTTATCTCATTTTTTTTCATATGGAGACCAACGACGGTGCTTTTTTTCACATTATCAGAAATTTACCTCGCTACTTTAGTACTTGTTACTTGGTCTGTGTGAGACTTTGTGAAAAATGGAATAGCTATTAGGATTACTGATATCATTGCACTCTGTTCCACGTAGAATAATGTAAAAATCTCAATACAATGTATTTAGCAAGCATTTATTTTAACTAAAATGAAAGTTTTTTATTGTTGGAAAATCTGGGAGAGACGTGGCAATTAAACTTTTGTTCGTATCAGTCTGTCTGTTCGAGTAAACTTCTTCTATACTAAAATCGACGAGGTATGTGATGTATTTTCTCTTAATATTGTGATTAATCAATAAATATATAAAAAAACAATCGCATTCATTTCGCTGGAAATTACCTAGCATGATCGATAAAATCACAATGGGACTAGCCATAAAATCATAAATAATTCGCCTTAGGTATGTGACACTTGCAGGTCCATACCCACAAATTAATAATATATAATATATATAACCAATATGAATTGTTTCTTGTTGAAGTTGATTGAAAAGTACTTACATACGGCTATGTTTGTTGCTCTTTTGTTTTCTAGATTTGACTATGATGACCTCGTATTTTATGTCCTTGATATTGAATACAAATGTAACAGTAATATTAATTTAATAGTAAATCAACCTGGTTTAATAATATCGTGACATTAACTCGGTGGCAGTTTATTCCAAATTAATATCTCTCAAAGCTTTCTGTCTGACATCGATTAATTTAGGTTTGAATATTTAATGAAGATATTGCTGTTTCAATGTTATTTCGATTTCTTTTGTGGGTCACTGTAGTCATTATATATTATATAACAACTACGGTATAGTACTTGTTTGAGTCATGATTGTTAATTAAGGTAATTAGTACGCGGAAGGAGAAGTTATTGAACCTTTATAGGATCAGTAGTTTATTAAAAACTGTTGTAGCACAATAATTAGAAAGGAAGCGAAGCGGAATATCAAGTGACAGTTCCACGATCAAAATATTTCTTTCATTTAGAAACTGTTATTTATAATATACTTTATATGCAGTATTTATAGGTATGTAAATAAGCAAATCTAGCATTTATAAATCATCCTACAGAAGAAATAAAAATTCATTTGGGATTAGGCGTTACATACTAAATACATACTGACGCTGAATAATATTTTTTTTAATTATATTATCTGAGTTAAATACATAATTGCCTATAAAACAATTTGATAAAATAATATTTATTTGATTTTAATTAATACATAATTATTAATTAACTAGCGGCTTAACTGTGATGCTAACCATACTCGTAATTTCGATGGTCGTAGGTTCGATTCCTCCCGCGGTACAAACATTTGCAGTCATGAGTATGATTGTTTGTATCGGGTTTGGTGTTTTGTTTGTATCTTATATATGTATTTACAAAAAAAATATCTATGTATTATTATCTTAACAGTTGTTTAATACCCATTAAGTAATTTAATGTATTAAGTAATAATTCAAAATCCAAAATATAAATAAAAATATTGGTAGTATTTTGTTCTATAAAGCAAACATTTCATATTAATACGTGATATATGAAAATTGCGTGTTCAAATCAACGATATTTACTTAGTCAACAGTTCAATCCCAGGAGAAGTACATTCAATGAAAGACAAACATTATAATCGAGTTTCAGGTACAATACAGCAAGCTCAAGTGACTATTGTCAAGAATTGAATCACAAAAGAATAAAAATGCTCTACGGATGAAGATTTATACAATAGCCATGTAGTCTTGCATTGAAAAGATGAATAGATTTGGAACTGGAAACTGCATAATAGTTCTATGAGTTATATGTCGAGTGAGTTTATTTGGACTAAGAAATTTCTATGTTAGTGCAATTTTATCAAAATAAAAATATGATAATAATAATATCCTAAGACAATTCCTACAGCGCCATCTAGTCCCACACAAAGCAGAGCTTGTGCTATGGCTACTAGACTACTGATATAACATAGAATGGAAAGATAAAATACATAGAAAACACACAGACCGATATTAACAATCATACTCATGAATACCCATGATTTCGAGGAATCGAGCCCACGACCATCAGATGTAAGGTGGTGTGCTTAACCACTAGACTACCGAGGCCTTCAATAATAAAATGCATTTTTATTTACACTCTTACAACAGAAATGTAAATAAAAGGCACAATGCATTTGTTTGTGTGAGACTGGTGTCTGAGCTAGGTATGTTCTGTGTGTTATTATAAATAAAAATATAAAATTATTAAATTACTAAATGGGTCACGTAAGCGTATTTATCTCATATATCTTCATTATAGAGGTATGTACGTGAGAGACAGATTTTCCGACACACCATCCTCGAACGTAAATTTCCTTTGAGCCCACATGCAGCAGCAGGTAAAAAGCGAATGTCGCTCTCAGGTTCTACATAAGAGCACTCGAGTCTGGTTCGTTAGCTAAATTAACACGATAGCAAAAGTTTTCATTTCAATCCTCCGAGCATAACTTTTAGAAATTCCTTTGAAATAAATGAAAATATAATTGAATAATTTGCAACTTATTGTGTATAAAATTGTTGTTTACAATTTTACATAGTATAAAAACGGGATATTGTAGAAGTTTAATCCGGAGTGAACATAAATATAGTAAAATGTGTAGGTATATAATTAGTAAAAGGTAAAAGGTTCACAACATGTCAACCGCAATACAAAACGAACAATAGAAGACAAAAATTACACTATTTCTAAGTATAAAATTCTGGTTTTAATGTCTTCTATTAACAACGGCCATTAACAAATTTAATAATAAAGTATCAATATGCCCCCAAAATAAGCCGGTTAAGTCATATACCAACATATATTTACTATGATAATATATTATATATATATTATTACAAGCTGTGCCCGTGGTTTCACCCGCGTGTAATATATAGCTTATGAGTTATACTGATGTATAATTATTATTGTAAAGTTACTCTGAAATTCATTCAGTAGTTTTTGCATGATAAAGCAACAAATATCCATCCATCTACAATCTCAAAATTCCGCGTTTATAATAATAAGACATATAATATAATATTAGTAAAATAATAAGACTGGCTTACGATATTTGGACGTTCCAAATTTCCAATAAAATAGATAATAGCTAAAAAAATACTTACATGAGTAAAATAATAGTAATAAACGTCGACTCCGGAGTCAGCTAGTACTTCTGCGAAATAGTTGGCAGGGCACACGAAAAAGTAATCACTAACGACATCAGCAATCATTTTCTGGTTCAAATAGCCATCAGTGATTTCTTCCCAGTCGGTATACTAGAAAAGAAGATACAAAAAGTATATTTTTAATATCTACTCTAATTCTACAATAAGTGCATGAAGAAACGGCAATAAAAATTATGACCATCGATCGATACAAAATCAACATAACGATATAATTTATTAAAGTTTCAAATATATTATACATTAATAGTAGTTCTAATTAAAATCTGTTTATAATTAGATGTATACATAAAAACTAATTAAAGAGACTGATAACATAAGAATGGTGTAAACTTGGTTCTACTATCTATTTATATATTTTTTATTAAATCTTGAGAAAAACATAGCAAAAGCAATATACTTTTTAACGTCATAATAGGCAAAGTAATTAAATACACGGCATTCATTCTGTAACGCCCATTGATTGTAGTATCTGCATATGATTATGCACAAATAAATATATCATCATTTTTAGTACACTGTGTGAAATTTGCAGATCATCATACCTTCATGCTTTGTTACTCCTGGTAAGATAATCGACTTATTTATTACACGTATGTATGTCTATTAAAATAATATACTGATTCCTTCTTCGGTGTAGAAATATAAGACGATATTTATAAATCTATCTATACATATTTTTATGTGCCTATCGAGAGGAGTCATACAATATTCTCGGTCTTTATTTATTATTGACGCTTATTTCAAATAGGATATCCTTTTTAGTGGTTTCTTGAAGAGTGGTTGTTTCTCCAGTTAGTGCATATCAGTTTTGAACCATACGTACTTCAACTGTAGGTTGATGTTAGATAACATGCTTAAAACAATGGTCTTATTTTTCATAAAATGTTATTACACAAAGAGGATTATTATGCGGATGACGTAAAGTCTTATCTATTTCCGTTTAAATAAACTAATATTTTGTTCTTGTCCAGCGGCTGCTGTATATAAGATAAGAATAAAATTATATTGTGTATACTATACCTAGATGCAGAAATATCAGTGTCCCTATGTCATCTTCTTTACTTATTTTACTAAATACTATTTTCAAAAAGCCAAAAAATTTTCTTTATACTAAAAATTCCTGATAATGCATTTTCATGACTATTCGTTGAGTGTTCAAAGTAGCAAGTAGTAAGAAATGAAAAACAAACAAACGTACTTTATACTAAAAAGATAAATTAATAACTCCAAAATGTACTTGTGGGAATCTAAAGTTTACTCTAAATAATTTATTCAAATTTTTTAAGTATATTAATTTAGACATTTGAATTATTACTATATCTTAACAACCCCACCCATGATTTCCCAGGTGAGATATACAGAAATATTATGGATATATACGATTCTGCAACATCATTTTCTAAATCTAGGCTTATATAATACTGTGGAAATTTGAGATCAATAGATCTCACAATACCACTCCAAAATACTAACTTTTTAAATTTATATATTACATCCTTGAACAAAATTTCAAATTAAAATACATAAAATTAATACTCACTTGAAATACAATTGCCTCTCTCTTAATTTTAGAGAAATCCTTGAAAATTGTATCGACGATTTCCAAAAACTTTTCTCGTTGCAAGAAACTTGGGCCATCCTTTTCGAAATAGTCAAGGAAATCATAGAGTAAGAAATAAGTTCCTGAAAAAAAAAATTTTTTACATTAAGGACGTATGGAATTTCTGATACCTACTACCTCTGAAAATGACAGATATTATTACACAGCATAGGCCTACCCTTATCCTTTATTACTTGTGTGTTTAATTTGTCATCACCAAACACACTACCTTGAATTATGTACAAGAAGCGTCAGTTACAGTCCTTTCAGACTAATAGAATTCTTACATTTATATTAACAATATGAAACACAATTTATTTTATATATCTATAATAAAAATATATCTCTTTATTTTAAATATATATCGTCTATCTATTTCTTTTAATTTATATATCGACATACTCGTGAACGGGTGCTGCTTGTGGGGACTGGTCTGTTCAGGTTGCGAACACTGATTAAATTTTTTGTTCTTTGCGATAGCATATGCTGGTGGTCACTCTATTCTCCTAAATTTGAATTTTAATGACTGTGTATTATTGTAAAAAACATGTACAACATTTATTTGAAAAAAATACGAGCTGAGTTTCTTATCAGTTCTTCTCATCTCGAAATCATTTCGAACTGACGGTAGATTTCACATATCCTAAGAGTCTGTAATAGATCTACATGAATAAAGATATTTTGAATAGAATAGAATAGAATAGAAAATCATTTATTCAAATAAACTTACATTGAAGCACTTTTGAATAGTCATAACATTTTTTTTTAATCTTGCTCATTCAGAAAAATCACAAGAAGAACAAGCAAGAAACTTGTGTGTTGCTCTTTTAAATAATTTATTCTTACTTACAATTTAAGTTTAAGTGTGTGAATACAAACCACCGATTAGCACTAATTCAATTAAATACTCAAAAAGAAAAAAATATTGAATACATAACCAACTGGTTAAACAATTAATAAGAGGAAATCAGTCATAGTGATTAGAGCAGACCAGTCCCTACAAGCAGCACCCGTTCACGAGTATGACGGATGAGCCAGCCATCACTGCGCTCGACCATATTTTAGGGAGCCCAATGACCCGGCCCACCACGCCGCCACAAGTCTGGACATTTTAGTGAGCATGACTACTCAAAACACCAGACCACGTAGATCACAATTGCCATCTGATGTTTATAGTATTCACATTTCACATAAGAATGCATGCGGCAATTAATACAAAAGCCGCTTTCATATTTCTAAAATAATTGAATCAAGAAAGCAATGAGATAAACAAATTATAACGTTGTATGCTAATAAACTAATTATTTACTTGAATTTGAATCTTATATCGTATGGAGATAAGAAACTCGAATGGGTAACCTTTTTTTTTTGTTAAAAGTGTCCTTTTACATAATGTCATGTATTGCACAAATATTCCAGTTATTAAATTGTTATTTACTTATAAGTGAAGATAGTAAAGAACTTTTTATGCCACGACCCTATTTATGACGACCGACCTACGACAAATATTTAACCATATTATGAAATAACTCTATACTTCATTATTTATAGAATAGAATAGAAAGAATAGAAAATCATTTATTCAAATAAACTTAATTTAAGCACTTTTGAATAGTCATAACAATTTGTTTTTTATCTACATTTATCATAAAACGATCTCCATTAATTTATTCGGACAAGCTATATCGTGATTAAAATTTGTTCAAAAAACATTGTGGTATTTTTAAAATGCAATAACTTTTTAATTTAGTGATATAATCAATGCTATGGGTTAGTCACGTCATATACAAATAAGTTTTTATAACAAATAGTTAATATATATTCAAATACAAAATGTAAATCCTTGTGAAATTCGTACCTTGGACACGACAGCGACAAAATTATTGGTTTTAATATGTCCAGTAAAACTGCATTCGTTTTTTACTTCTAAATATCATTTAATATATACTTTATTAGATTAAACTTTGGCTAAACTCATGTAATATCGAAGGTAACTCTCGGGATCTACATAAAACTAAAACTGTACACAATGGTCCTTACGATTCTAGAAAATAAGAGCGTAAATATCAGCAATGATAAATGATCAGTTTATTACAAAATACGTCCATGTACATAATAATATTTTACTTTAACAAGACTACTTCCGTGTTTCATAACGTCTAATAAATTACGTAACGTCCTCCGCCACGGAGCGCCTTTACAGGGTCCAACCCCCATCTTCACCTTGACCTCGTCTACACGAGTTGCAAATTACATATGCCTACCTCAGCTCACAATTAGTAAATATTATGTGTATAGCATAGTAAAAAAGTTTTTATTTATTGTATTTTATGTCAAACAATCTTTAAAATGTTGAAAGAAGATAACTTAGTGAGATAAGTATGCCATTATACCAGTATAATAACTTCCTCGATAATAGAGATTTTAATTTTAATAAAATTTAAAATACGCGAGTTTCTTGCTCGTTCTTCTTCTTCTTCTTCTTGATGAGACAGCTTTCCGAATGAGCGGTAGATTAAAAAAATATGAGGACTATTCAAAAGTGCTTCAATGTAAGTTTATTTGAATAAATGATTTTGTATTCTATTCACTACTATTCTTAATTAAAGTGTGTGTGTCAAAATGAAATTTCAATTGTCACTTCAATACTAACAATGTTGACAAAGTGGGTCACATAATATTTTATTGTATGTATTGTACTTCTTCTTGTCGCTTTATCATTATTGTATGTATTGCATCTACCAGGACTTTTTTGTGTCAGACGCACACAGGGAAATACAGTTAAAATGAACTTCTCTCTTTTTTAAGTCGGTTGAAAAAGTAATTCTCGCAGAATAACTCTTAAATTTATAACTGAGTGCTATGTCAGAACGGTACTGTAATGAATGTCGACCTTTCTACGCCTTGAAGTCTCAGATAAAATTTTGTAAACATCAATATTCAAAGCAGAACATTTCTGCATACAAATAAAAAATATGTAAATTGCGTTCACTTAAGTTCACTTTGATTTTTAAGCAAAATAATATTTGTGGTATATATTTGTAAGGATTTTATGTATAAGTTTAGGGTGGGATTTAGAAAGTTTAATATGAAAGTCGCGATTCACGATGTTTGAATAGAATGAAAATAAAAAAAATAGCACACTGTGTGTAATTCAGTCCCACTTAAAGAAACAAGACCGGTATGTTTCTATGATTTATCTTAACATTAATGTAAAAACTGAGCCACAAGAACTCGTAGCCTGGACAGCTAATAATAATAATCTCAGAACAATTCACACAGCGCTATCTGGAGCCAAGTTAAGCTAGCTAAAGCTTGTGTCATATGTATTACATAACTGACACAAATACATCGATTTTGTTTTTGTAAATACATACATATTATACATAGAAAATACCCAGACCGATATAAACAATCATACTCATGAATACAAATGTTTATGCCAGACAAGGAATCGAACCCGCGATCATCGGACATAAAGCAGTGGGTTAGATCACAGAAGTCGTCATAAATTAAGACATTTTAAAAATCAATACATATTAGATGTCGTAATATAAATATTATATATTGTTTTTCATTATAATAACAAACGTTCTAGTATTATCGTCAGGATGCCGATTATTTAATATATTGTAGGTAGTATAAAATAAACTAATCCAATTTAGTATATATACAAATAACATGAGAGTGTTAAATAAAATTCCAATTTGTTTCAGATAATTACAGATAAGTGAACAAATTATAAAATTACTAAATATATATAAACATATGTAAATTACTGCCCAGATTGGTTTATAGAACGCAGTAAATTATAATATATGCAAATTTGATTAAAATGTTGATAAAACTGTCAAAGTCTTCTCACGTGAAGTTGAACCATGAGGGAGATGACTAATATAATTTGAGTATCTAAAGCAAGCAACTAAATACATATTCAGCAAATTGTATTATATTACGATTGTTTTTATATTCTAAGAAACATTTAGTTGCTCTGATTAAATTCTTGGTAAATATAATGAATTATATCTAATACTCTGCTTGCAAACATTTTTAAATTATATTATGTGTAAGAAAATATGATTATATTTCTTAGTATTATTACGTCTAGCTGTATATATCTGAAATAAATTAATATTTGAATTATCAAACGTCTTCATTTTGATTAGTTTAAAATAACTATTTCAGTTTTACTTATGAATTATACGAAGAAAACGTGAAAATTATTAATTTCAATGTACTACTAAAATATTATTTTTCATATTATACACATATTTTGCTAACTTTACTTTATTATGTATTTTCAGTGTATATATAGATATATGTATAATAATAATAATATGCGTGGATAATTCACATAGCGCTATTTAGTTCCAAGCTAAATAGAAGGGTATGTTATGTTATGGGTAGGGCCTAGACAATATATAAAACCTTATTTATTAAAATAATAACAAAATAAATATGATAAGATAAACAAAGATTATTACAATTTGTTTCGTTTATCCATATCAACATGTACTCTGTGGCGTATAACATTACATTTCGCAAATACATGTATTAATTAAGTTCACTGATCCAGAAAATAACAGAGTTTCAGTGGTAAAAAAATCATATGGAAGCAACACGAGAATCAATCATAAGTAATAACAAAATTATTTTAAAATTTATATAATATCATTTGGTTAAAATTATTATGAAGTTAGTTAGAATCTTATTTATATAAAAGAATTTATTTATTTTCATTAATAAAAGAATATCCCTAAACATTTAACCTTCTGACTGATTTAAAAAATAAATGGTAAATCAATTTTACACAACTTTATAGTTTGAACACTATAAATGCTAATTATATACCTACTACGCTATATTATCTAATTATCTGTGGACACGTATAATAATTAATTTGAAATTTATAATTTATAATTCTGATAATAACACTCCATTACAGTCTCAACTTTATTATAATGAATTTTTAACAGAGCTACGAAGGCTCTAGTTATTTCTGGAGGGGGGCTAGGGGTGCGTGGCAACAGCACAGCGGGGTTGAGACCAACAGGCAAGGGGAAGCGGGGGTGTAAGCTACGTGGGCGAGTCTGTAGTACATGGTAGTACGACTAAAAATCTACGACGTGGTATTATTGTGTCTACATAGATTTGCGCAGGCGTGCGCTCCCCGCCGCCGCTCCGCATCGTCGCCGCCGGTTGTTGAGCGCTCCTAGACTCAAATGGCCTCGAACTCTACGAGCAATATTGATAAACCATAGGAAAGCCTTTACAAGTCAAATAAGTTTTAGAGATGGGACATTTTGAAACGAGTATGGGATATATTTTCCATTATGCTATTTCCCAATTTTTCTACGAATTTGCTTTATTAGTTTTCAAAGTTATTAATTCAATTATATTAATATGGTTTGATAATAAGAAATATGTTAATGTATTTTTAATAATAGTGTCAACACGAAGCCAATTAAATTCATGATCGTTCTGTTTCTAATAGTCTTTCCAAAAACTCTCACTAAATGTTTAATGACGTACGCCTAGGTTACAATATTTGGAACCAATATGTCTATATTTCATATTATATAAAATAAAATTTAATTAATATATATATATATATATTATATTATTTGATAAATAAAATCTTTATTTATCAAATAAAATATTTTATTTTATATTATATATATTGAAACAAGTATGCGATTTTTTTAATAATATTATATTTATTATTTTATATAACGATTAAATCAATTATACGCCACAAAACCTTTCAAAAACTTTGTTAAATAAGGGTTGCGTCTACAGGAAGTTAACTTTTATAAGTTGTCTGATTAGACGTGCACGAAAAATTAACTTGTTGATTGGACAAACGTTTAGAAGAACAAATCTATTAATTTAAAATGGTGTATATCAATAAAAAAACATTTAATACGGTCATTAATAGGAACGGTCTTGTTACGTAGTAGTGACTAACAATTAGACCTTACCTATAATTAGAAAATAGTTTAATTAATCTATGTATAAGTTGATTAATAATACAAATGTATATCGTAATATTCTAATTTATCTGTTTGCAAGTCTTCTTATTAGTTCTTTAGCGATCCAGGTATTGTTTATTCAATGTAATAAGATCTTTTGTGCTAGTACATTAGATAATAAATGTCAGAGTCTTGTGTTTAATAAACTGAATAGAAGTTTCTCTTATTGTAATACTCTACTAGACACAACAATAGTCTATGTTATTAAATCGATTAAAGTATAATACTTATTGTATTTATAAAAGAAAATATGACAGACAAACAATAATTACATTATTAATAATTTTATTGAATCTAATAAGTATGAAAGAAACATAAACTGACCTTCATCCTGATTGCTTCCAAGTAGTACTTCGGTATTATGAAAATTACCCTCTTTCATTAATGTATCAGGATCTTTCGGCAAAAATACGCCATCTATAGTTGGAGCGGACGGAAATCCTAATATGCCGGTGTACGAATTCCACTGTTGTACGGAAATTGTTTTAGCATCAACACCACGCATGCAGTCCATAACTAAACTTGGATCAGTAGATAAAAGGCTACTATTACAATTGCAATCATCCACTAAAACTTTTCCTATGTCTTGTGCTCTCTCTCCTGTCATCCAACTCCAAGGTACATTTAAAGTTCCAGACTGTAATATGCCTCTTTTAAATAACCCTTTCATTTCTGGTGAAAGCATATGCAAACTGATACTTCCCCCACCTGCCGATTCACCAAACAAAGTAATTAAATCTGGATCACCACCAAATGCACGAGCATTATCTTTAATCCATCGTATTGCTAACTGTTGATCCCATAAACCCATATTTCCTGGCGCTTCTTCGCTTCCAGGAGAAAAATATTTATTTAAATATAAAAATCCAAATGCACCAACTCTATATTGCATGGAAGCCACTATAACGTCACTGGAAGAAGCCATTATGTCTGCTTTATACAGGTCAAGTGTAGCTGTGCCACTCATGTAACCTCCGCCATATATCCATATTAGAATCGGCACCTTTGGCCTTTCTGTTAGAGGCTTCTCTTGGTGATGCCGAACTCGTAAGTGCTGTGGCACCCAAATATTTAAATATAAACAGTCTTCTGATATGTTCGTGTTAGGATTCCACATCTCTTCTCCCTCGAAACCAGGAAAATATTCATACCTTTCTTGGTAACAACTATTAGGCATAGCTGTAGCTTCAAGAACACCATGCCAGGGTTCAATTGGTACAGGTTTACGGAATCTTAAAGGTCCTAACGGAGGTTTAGCAAATGGAATACCAGTAAAGATGTGTACTTCTCGGCCCATTACCGTCTTGGCATAGCCTTTGACCAGACCACTCTTAGTCTCAACAATGAGTGGGTCATTGTGAAAATTTTTTGGTAGTGGACTAGTGGTTGGTGTGGTTTGTGTTGTTGAAGTGGTCGTGTCATGATGGTTAGCCCATGATCTGCTCCACACACCAGACACGAAAATGCATAACAATAGTTTGGTGAACACTATTTTTCTGTAGCAAATCATTTTTACTATTTTGTTGTCCGTCATTAATGAGATATGTCAGATAACAACCGGAAATAATCCGCTAATTTGATTAATTTTTTATTGTAACACATTTCTACATTGACACGTTCTACTTATGTTGTGTACCTGAAACAAACAAAAATCATATTATAAAACATTACATATTTCATTTCTTTATCATTATAACTTTATATTAAAAAAAATAGGTATATATACACTATATGAAAAGTGATGCACGGATATAGTAAGAAAAAGACTGACGAATATTTGTCTTATATACTAATTTATTTTGTGTTGTTATACACAGTAATATTCTGTATTTTTGCACTTCTAATCAACACGCGTTACATTTCTATTACATAATATTATTGCTACATACAGCATCGATAGCACGTCGTAAAAAAATATAACACTGTGTAATTTAATATCAGCAGACTATTAATTCGTTGGTTGCAACCACTAATTACAAAACCTATTAGACGATCGAAGGAAATTTTTATTATCGCATTAATTAATGGGAAAAATCGTCTGTAGCTTACGAACTCAGCCGATTTTTCCCATTCTGTAGCTCATTCAACAAACAGTGATTCTACTACTCTTTGTGACTCGCCTGGTCACCTCAAACACTAATTATGAAAGGAAAATATTGCTAGTTACATATATCTCTTAATCCTCTTAATTAAATTTATAGAAGAAAAATATAAAAAAACTAAGTTCGCGTAAATAACAATAAACTTTTTAAATAATATACACGTTAACGCATTGAAATTGATTTCATTACTAACCACAGGTATTGAATTGCAAACAAGTCAAAAACCGAGATTGATAGAGAAGTAACATTTCTCAACCAATTTATATAATTAAATTGATAAAGTACAAGAATAAAGAAAATAAGCCAAATAATAATCTAAAAACGAATACTATTTTATAATTCTCTTTATCCTATGAAACTAATCTTAATTAGCCGGAACAAACAGACAGACAGACAATAGTATTTATATTCATCTGCATGTAGTAAAAAACGGTTATTACAATATTACAAACAGACACTCCAATTTTATTTATATATACAGATATGTATATATATTGTTACAGTCTCGCGGTTTACAGACGTGACATCGGTAAACGGTAATGTGCAACGTGCTTAAAGAATGGGTTTAAAGAATTTTGTGACGAAATCTAATTCAAGTTTCCTATTAAATTGCTAAATTTTATATTACATAAGGTTATAATATAGAATCATCAGATTCTTACTTTACTAGCAAAATAGCAGCAATTTCTCCATAAATGAATTACATTTTTAATGAATGAAAATGAGAAATGAATTATAGATTAGTACGGAACAGAATGTGTATCATGTATGCGGTTGTGCGAGGAAGTGTATGTCTTTAGCTATGAATAGGTAAAGTGCTATATACATATATATATATGTTAAGTATTATCCGTTATTTTTATTCTACATCTATATTTGGTAATTGGACAATATATAATAAGATTTTCAGTCCTTTAAATATACTTATAAGATAGTTGTATGATGATAATCGTCGTGATAAAAATGTCTATTTAAAATTTTTCATGGAAATATTTTATATTCAATTAATTAATATGATAAATACACATATTAATTAATTATGAAATTTCATAGATTATAAAATGTCTATGGTATAGATTTACATACAAACCATATATGTAGCCATACATAGCACTTATATATAATCAAATATAATAAACTCAAAATCGAACCTAATACTCTTGTCGAGTGCCGTATTAATTTTTTTTTGTTAATATTCTTATTTAGCAGAAACCAATATAATAACAAAATATAACCTAACCTGCTCATTTAATATTAAGTTGTAATATGCTACTTTAATTTGTCTTGACATTTGCACATGAAAGGAATAAATCCCTTATATCCTCATAAGCCCTCGGGTAATAAGAGATTCGCAGGAAATATGTACTTATCAGGTACATACACGTTTGTTTTATGAAACAAACCAGAGATACAAAATGAAAGAGGTTACAAATGGTGCTGTATGAATGTAACATTTCATCGCTGTTGTAACTGTATCATTCTTTACACATTAAAATAGAAATACATGAAAAATGAACCTGTAGAATATTTTAGTATTTTTTAGGAGCAAGTACCTCTTTATGTCTTTGTTTTACTTATATTTTCAAGAAAATACAGATTATATATTTTTAAAGATATCATACCTTTTATTAGTACTACTATTTAAATGAAAACCTATTGTGATTTCCCTTTTTAAGTGGGTAGCTTAGAATTGATATAATTATACTTTTACTGCTCATGCAATGTAAGTATGATTTAATATTTAATTTGTTATTGTTACGACATAATAACGAACACGATATATATGTTACTAGTTAATGGTACTACGTGGTCACACATAATAACTGCTAGTCAACAGTCCTGAGCCCGTAGTTTATTACTGGCCTTACGCACGTGTCAAGGACAAAAATAAACGCTTACATATCTATTCACAATTGCCTTCCAAATATCTGATTGTTGTCAGTAATGGGAACTAGTGATCCAAATTCTGGCAACTGTTCTGATAGGACAACTCGAAACCATTCCAGTTGAATTCGCCAGCCACGTCAAGTTCACGAAGTGGCTTAGGCCAATGGCCTAACTAACATGACTTGGTGAATGAGTGAATTAGTTATAGACTATAACTAATGTTCCGCGAGCGTATGTGGGGGACCATTTCATAATAGAAATATGTCTGTCAATAATAATATCAGGTTCTATATAATTTTATGACTATGAGAAGTACGCTCTAAAGAAGAATAGACGTTCCATGCAATAAGAAAATTACATTACTGATAAACAGGAAATAAATAACTAGTGAAATACTGCAGATTTTCATTGGTAGAATGTGTCTTGACTAATATTTTCATGCATAATATATAAATACGGAATCGATAAAACCGATAGAAAATGGGGAGAATGAGAATTATTTAGTGCTGACGCCGACCTTGTGTGACAAAAATGTTAGATAGTGCTAATAATGATAATAAGATATAGGCAATTCGATTTAAAAACTAGCTGTATCTTATAGTTTTTTATATGTGGTCATATTTTTAATTAAATTTTACCGGTGATCAAAAAATACAAAAAATATTGTGTGGAGCCTTTTAACTTTATTATTAATTTCTTGGAAGTATATATATTTATATTTTATATATATTTTGTAAGCTAATTTATTATTGCATCTGTTACAAACTGTTTATACATCTTTTGTTTAGATATTATCTGTTTTTTATAATAAATTTATTGTTTTATATTCGACATTAGTCACTAAAATATTTGCGTCTATAACGTTGCCTTTTTTTCTCTCTTTTCATCATACTCGTCCTTCATCTCTCTCCTTTACAATATCTGCCTTAATATTTATACCAAATAAATAATATAATGTTACTTTGGATATTAAACAATATTAAAATTTGTGTTTTTTCGTGATTGTCAGTCAGTTGTTTTTTATTATTTCTAATGAATGTTATCAATTAATCATATCCTTTAGACATTATCAGTAATGTATGATCAAAGCATACGAGCAGTAGCAATACATATTCACGTCCATTACCTGAATTTAAGGAGAAAGGGTATTGCTGTCGTGGAAATTGTAAATCAATCACAATCAGACTGTTGGCCTGTGAGTGGATTGGTTGGGTACGTAATGACACTATCCAATAGGTACACTAAAATATAGAGTTAGCTATCCCTTAAATTCTTCTATAATATAAAATGGAAAATATGTTAAATGTATTTTAGGTAGTCTTTCTGACCACATTTTTTTTGTATATAACATGACGACTTTCAATTTTCACTTTGATTTCACAACATATTTTAATTAATCTCTAAGTGATGAACACAGTATGTTGTCTAAATCTTGATGTTATTTACGTACCTACATTAGATACAAACCTTGGAATAAATATAAAAAAAAAATTATTTAGTCCAAGAAAACCAAATTAAAATAACCCCTATAAATAAAATATAATAATCATAATATATTAGTTGATACGGTAAATGCAAAATTTAACATCCATATCACAAAAGGCAATTAGGAAGTATATTTGAATGTACATAAGGAGTGGTCCTCAATGACTTAGACAATTAAACCAACATGATCGCTTAGTAAATATCGTCTAAGTTTTATTTAATTAACTTCATTAGGACAAAAATAATCTAATACTTATTTACGTCATTTGTAAAGTTAGCTAATATATACATATATGTATACATATATACTATACTAAATATATACTAGATAACCTACCCACAAATTAATAAGAAAAAATATAAATATTTTTCTTTAATTTTTTTATTGGTGATAGTTGTATATAAGCTGGGGCTAACCAATAGAGAGTGATACGACGAGCATAGTCAGTCAGTCCAGTTACCCTCTAGTGGCAAATTCATCATAATTTACCACGATAGTTTCCAGTAATATTGCCACTTGTCCTCATTACTGACAATCAGTTATTAATGTTATAAATATATTATAAGTTTTAAAATGATCAATCTTAATACATCATTAGCTTTCATTCAGAAAATATGTAAAATATAAAATGTATTTAATATTCTTTTATATATGCCATAGAGATTTATTACATAACTAATATTTGTAAGGGACACAAAATTTCGAAATCATTGAGAAGTAGGTAACAGAGTAAGAATACAATTTGTAACTATTCCTTTTCATCTCGAGTGTGTCAAGAGGTGACTATGGTAACAAGGGAACTTTCGTCAGCACAAAAGCAGGAAAACTAAAAATAAATCCTATACCTGGGGTTTGGCCAGCACAGTACTAATGAGCATAATCTTCTCTTACGAGGATAGATTGTTGTTTTTATGATAATATGATTCTACATTCGATTATATTCCTATAAACGTATGCTTATATCTTGATTAATTCGGAATAACTTTAACGATTCAGAATTTAAGTACATTTTATGATTGTCATTATTTAACAAAATAAGGTATAGGAAATCTAATGAATATTATCACCCAAAAGAAATAGGTATTTAAAGACATAGGTATCATTCTAACGTAAGTTATTAGTAAGTTATAAGTTATTGACATTTTAACAAAGTAAAATTTC